GCAGATATTAAACATTTAGTAGCTGTTTATTGAATGAAATTAAAGAGGAAATGGATTCTTAATTATCTTCAAAAATCTCATTTTCCAAAGTCCAATTAATTTCAAAGAGACTCAGCGATTTCTACAGCAGCAAGGCACTAATAATGACGTTATTAATAATCGTCGTTACGGTGCCCTGAGTAGCACGCATCCGGATGTTGGAAAAGTACCTTACATCGGCTCTCACATATATATATATATGCAGAGAGAAATTCCAGGTCTCGCCGGTCTCTGGTAGCCTTTCCAGATGGAAGACCCCAGTGAGTAGGCTCCAAGAGTCCCAGAGGTGAAGCGGAATCCGTATAATTTCTCAGGAGTTACCACTAGGTGGCAGTGTAACACCATGGTCGGCTCTACCTCGCCGTGGGACCCTGAGTGACTTGGGCCAACTCTGGGGGTGCTGGCACGATGGCCGGGGGCGACTTGGTGGCCAAGAAGGGCAAAATTTGGACCCATGCACCAAGCCCTGTAGTTGAGGTTGAGGCCTTTATAGTGTGCGCCGTAGCAGGTCCTTTTGATAGGCCCCTCACTAAATCAGAGTGCATTTTCAATATCTGAAAAATTTTCCAGTTTAAATGCAGTTTCACAAGGCATAATTCAATCTCAGCTCTCACCAACACACCCTCTGTCTTCACACCTTGTATTCTGGACTAGGTTTGGGTGAGGGGACATGAAGGCCATTAATCCCAGTTCTCACATTCGTAAAGGACATGTTCAGGCATTTAGTGTTGCTTGGGTATAAAGCTGTACATAGGATAGTTTTATTCTCTCCATCGTGAAAAAAGTTCACTTGTTTCATGAAAAATACTTACACAGTACCACTACGCTGTGCTTTCTTTCAGCATATCTTCATTTTTAATAGATCAGTATCCTCCAGAATTGAAAACATGCAGGGTTTCTCTTTCAGTGCTGGAAAAACTTCTTGGTACTGGTCAACTAAAACACTCATATTTTCAACAAAGTGTCTGCCTGGCCATACTCTCTCTCATCTCATGGTTTTTGTGCATGCAAATGTTGAGTTTTGCCACTGTTTTCTCTCCGTCTCCAGCTGACCAATGCCTGGTTGTTCCTCTGATCTCAGTATCACCTCCTTTGCAAACCAAGGTCTAAAACTCCTAATGCACCTAGCTGTAATGCTTAGTGTATCATGCTGTCTTTGGTTTTCCTTCTGTGTGTTCTCCAAACCAAGGATTCACAGCCTAGGGTATATTGCTTTTTGCATTGTCCAGTATGCCCTTAAATTTTTGTATGATTTATTTACTGCCATAATATATTGGACAGAAGTAATCAAGAGACCTCAGTGGCCTCCCCTAATGAATGAATATTACTTGGGCATCTAAAGTGAGTTCGGGCTTAGGCTGAGTTTCTGTTGATCTTAGATGGCCTTGTTTAACATCTCTGGGGTAAGCTGGTACCTAGAAGATCATGGTTCGCTTTTTCTGGGCTTTATTCTTTGTGTTCATTTTCTACCTGCCGGACTAATGGGTCAGTCCAGCCTGTGTTCGTAGTGACGGTAGGCAGAAATGATCAAGTGCCAATGGACAAGTCTGTTTCATGGGCTTCATTCTCACTGACATTCCACTGACCAAAGCTAGGTACATGGATAAGCTCAAAGCCAAATCTCCCTACTCACAGGAGAAAGGTGTGACCCAGGTACATGGTCAAGGACATGGTACAGGAGAGAGCTATGCTTTGCTCTTTGACCACTGTTTCTCTGTGCCACATAGTGTCCGCTAGGATGCTGTGTATTTACCAGAAAGATTATCTAAATCTTTCGCCAATGTCTCAACTGTACTCATATTCACAAAAGTTCAAGAGCTCTGGCCTTGATCCATCCGTGAGTTCAGGTTCTGTGCCTTCTCTATTTGCGTATCGTCACAGACTAGGATAAAAGATCATGAACATGGCTGGTGCTGAATACATATGTGTTTAATGAATGAATGCCTCCTGAATGCAAGTCTTTTAGTAGGTTTTGGGAACAGGAAAGTGAACCAAAGACCCTCACTGTGAAGCAGTCTTTACTTTAAGTGCTTCCTCCAAGCTATTGCTCAGGGACTGTGGTGAGGAGACGGGGGGGGGGGTGTCCTACAGCCTCAAATAAAGTTTGCACCTTGGGGGATGAACATCAAAAAAGCACAAACTTTATAGGAGACACAATAGAGGTAGCAATTCCACTTCTGTGGCTCCAAGTGTGGGTTATCCTGCAGAAAGTATGCACTGCACAAATAAACAGATATGCAGGCTTAAAAATGCAAGCAGAGACCTCCTAGTTATTGGTGTCACAAAGTGAATAATGAATTCTCTTAGCAGCTAGTTCCAGAATCCTTCCTTGAGGAGGAAATTGCTTCTGTCCAAGGGAATATTTTGATAAGATGCTCAGGGCAGAAGGTGAGACCCCAAAGGCACAGGTGCCCAGTGAAATGAATTTTGTTTTCTCCTCGGAAGAGGGTGGAGTGAGAAAGGAGATAACACATGGAAGAAAGAGCAAGACACCTACACAGAAAGGACAATAGGACACCACTGTGAGAAAACTTGGAAGCCATCCCAGGCCCCTGGAAAATGCTAACAGGGAGCTTCCAGAGGATTTCTGGGAGATGTTCTGTGGGACCCTCCCTTGCAACCCCAGAGTTCACGACTCACAAATGCATCTCACATTTTCCTTGCTTTTGCTTTATTATTTCTTCTGGTTATGGCTTCATGGTAAATGAGAAAAAGACTGAGATGTTCATCAGAGCTGTGTGGTCAGAGCAGACTTAGTAGTGTGATCCTGCTAATGAAATTTGTAAATGCAAGTTCCCGGTATCTGAGGAACCTGGCAAAGGCTCTGGGTATTCAGTGACTGTGGAACCTGAGCGTGTCAGAGGATCCATACCTGACACCTGCTCTACTGTACCCTCTCACTGGGGGATGTTGAGTTGGGCTCTTCCATTATGTCTCTGTTTCTTCACCTCTGAGCTGAGTGTGATAGTGGTACGTCCTTCACAAGGAGGTTGGGGGTGTCCTACAAGTCAGTAGATACAAGGCACAAAAAAGTACCTGGGACATACGGTGTGCTTGTCAGCCCTCAATGTTTTAGATGTCATTGTTATTACTCATAGTTGACACCTGAGCAGTATTGGCCAGGTGGACTGGAAGTAACACTAGATTAGGAATGAAAATCCAAGGTCTTGTCTCCTCCTTCAAGCTCAGGAAGTCTCCTCCTGTAACCTTGAAGAAGTCACTTTGCCCTTTAAGGCTTTCGGCTTTCCCTTCCTCTATCAACGGAAGGAATTGAGAAGAATTTCTTCAGTGGTTGTTCTTCCTCTCAGTATGCAGGAGGCAACTCCTGGCCCCAGCAAGCCTGCTTTGACATTGGAGGAAGTAGCCTGAGTTGTAGTTCATAGTCCACCCCTAAATCCATTTTCCCCACTCAGCATAACACTGAAGTGAGACTGACTTGGTGTGTTTGTTTACACCCCTTGGGAAGTTATTTCCCTTTTCACTTAATTACCCAATACCCAGACATTGCTGTGCAAAATTTGCCTCAAATACATTTTGTAAAGTCATCCAGGCTCGCTCATTTGGTGCTTTGATTAAAATGTGCAATCTTCCCCAGGCTTCAGCACCTCTTTAAATAATTGCACCTCCAGTGACAAAGTAAACAGCCCATGCTAGGGCCCAGAGAACAAGATGAATGCAGGGCACATCCAGCAGGTATTGTATATCCCAGCCCCCAGGAAAACATGCAACCTCTGGGTTAAGTGCTAGACCAATGCTGGCTTTAGGTTGCTTCTTTTCCACAATTTTGTTCGGAGGGAGCATGACCCAGAAGCACTGCAGAATCCCTTTTGCCCACCCTTCCACAGCTCCTTGTCTGCTTGACTTGGCCTGAACCCTGGAAAAAAGCTGGCCAAGGGTTGGTTTTTCACTGAGAGCCTGGCTCATCCCTTGGCAGCATCGAAAGTGGAAGTCTCCCTTAACTGCTCCACAGTCGACTTGCAAGGGCATCGTTCTCAGGGGCTGTGGGGTCTCGAGAGGTTGGCAACTTTGATTCAGGTCCACCTTTCTCACTAATGAGTGATGTTGACCTTGATCATTTCACTTTATCTTTCTTTGATTCCCTCCCCCACTCTCTGCTTCTTGTATACAAGTGAGTTTGACATTGCAGACTACAGGGGATCAAATGCACCTGTAACATTTTCTTGCACCATGACCAGAAGGAGGAGGTTTAAGGTCTCTGAGACTCATTTTCTCACCTGGAAAAGAGGGTTAGTGTTGATAATGAAAATTAAATCATTTGAAGTAATATGTTTAGAGCATAGCACACAGTACCAGGCATAGACATGGTGTTTTGGGGCAAATAGTGTGGGGGTCTGGAATGAGCAAGGCTTGGGGTCAGGTTTGGGTTTGAATCTTGGTTTTATCAATGTTTAGCTATGACCTCAGGCAAATTACTTACCTTGTGTGAATTTCTGTTTCCTGATCTGAACAGAAGAATAATAAATACCCTTTTTTGTTGTCTATTTTTTTATTAGTACATGCTTACAGTACATAATGACTACATTTATCATGGGGAGTTTGTATATGTACATAGCACATTGTAATTCGTATTTGTCCCCTTCTCCTCCCATCCCTACCTGCTGTCTCACAAGATGTGATGAAGGAGAGATTAAATATGATGATCTATGTAACACACACATCAACTTGTCTGGCTTAGAGTAAGAACTCCTAAATGCTTATGCACCTGGGCAATAATAGTGACCTATAGTTTAATAAGCCAATTTTGAGATCCAGAATGGGAAGTTCAGTCCAAGATTTGTCCTTAACACCATGGTCCAAGAAAAAGCTGAATAATACTGATTGGTAAGGATGTTTTTGGAAAGTTCTTTTCCCCAAGATCTCAACTCCAAGGTATCAGAATTGGGAATCTTAACCACTAGGCCGACATAGATTTGTCTTGAATTTTCCTTCTTGTTTTACAGGGCATGGCAGGGATCCTGAGGAACCAGAGTGTGAGAAAACGAGACCATCTGTCATCTTCCTAATTTGCTAGCTGTGCATCCATTTCAAGTTCCATCGTTCTTTTTATCCGCCCATCTTTTTATCCATCCATCCAACAAAATAAAGCTGTCACGCTGTGCTGTGCTGCAGAAAGTCCATTTAAGATCTGTTTTGGTGGAGACACACGCAGAAAGGCTGAAAGGATTTGGTTTAAGAGGAGAAGGAGGTGAAAGTTTGGAGACAATTTTGCAAAGAAGGGCAGAGAAATGAGATAGGAGCTGAAGGGGTGTGGAAGGTCGGCTTGTCTTCTGTATCTGATGGTAAAAATCAAGAAGAAAGGAAAAATTTGATGGTGACTGATCAATGACCATGATATTAAAAATTGGGACCCAGGGTTCAAGCAGAGGCTCTGGCCTTAGAGAGGAGACCGTCAGTTTACCCTGGATTGGGTGGGAAGGCAAAGCATATGGATGGAACAAATGCCCTGAATTGGTAAATGTGTAGGTGAAAGACCATGGATTTTATTCTGATGGCTTCTATTTTCATAGCTGAAAGTGAGCAAGGGGAAAGAGTAAAAGCTATGAAATATGTTTAGCTCCTTTGGATTCTCTCTGAAGTAGATCATGCAGAAAAGTGGATGAATGAATGGCTTAGAAGATGTAGCAGGACTGGAAAATATCACATGGACCCACCTGAAGTAGATCATCGCGCATTTGAAGCCATCCAGTCAATATGCTTGCACAGTTTTTTCCCACCAAGTTCAGTAGCTTTGATAGAAATTCAAAATAGTGGCATTTAACAAAGTTTTTGTTTTTTGTCAGCACAAAGGGCTGGAAAATATGCTGGGAGGTAAGGTCAGTGATACATATTTGAATGTAAGGAGGGGTGTGTAAAGACAGTGGTATGGTGGAGTTAAGGGTAAGCAAAAACATGGTGTAATGGTGGATTTGGGTTATAAAAGAATCAGTAGTTTTTGGAACTGGAAAACTGAAGATGAGAGACAGTAGTTGGAAAGTAGAACCCTTATCATCGAGACAATGGAGGGGTGAAAAAGTACTCATAGGAACAGGTCTAGGATATGGGTATGGGATGGAAGGGTTGAGTTTAGATGGATAGAAACATCTTTGAAAAAGTGCAGGGCTCTGCTGGGGTTTCTCTATGGCAAATGAAGGCATTCAGAATCCTAAGCAAGGGTAATTGGATCCAGGTGCTAGGGACTTGTGATGAAGGAAATGATCTGGGGCTCTGTGGATGACTAGAATGGAGAAGGAGTAGCTCGTTCCATCTGGCAGCATGACCACTGAAGCCAGGAGTGCTGGGGGCAGCGGTGTGGAGGAGCCATAACAGTCCAGGAAGACTCTAGACCTTACTTTACCCTAGTGGCAAAGGCAGTATGGGAATTAACAGAGCAGCCTCCTCTTGAAAGGAAGGACTTGTGTTCGAGACATTTGTAGGAGTTGGTTCTAGACTCAAGGAGCTATGGAGCCCTCTTAGCACTTCCTGTTGTTGCACAGGTTTCTGCTTCTTGGAGTTGTCCTCTCACTGACTGCAGACCCTTCTGTGTACAGGAGTCTCATGCAGAGGATTTGGAGGCCAACTGTCCTGACTCCTGTGCTCATGACCCACTGTGAATTAACTCTACGAACTTGTGCTAATTGGTTGACTTTTCTGAACTTCAGTTTGTTCGTCAGAAAATGGGCTGGTAGGGGTTGAGTGTAGCTTAGTGACAGAGTGTGCCTGAGGCCCCCAGAAGCAGCAAAAGAAAAAAAAAAAGGCTGTTAATGCTTGATTATGTAGCTGTTGAAAAGTGAAAGGGAATCAGTACAGACACTGTGATTGGAACAGGCCTAGAATATCACTGTGTATATAAATGTTTGCTATAAATACCACTATTTTAAAATTAATATTCTATTCTTTATAGGCTTTCTATTGTGATACAACAGAAACACGAAGGAAATGTTTCCAATTGCAATTGAAGATGAACAGATTTGGGTAGTAGTGAACCGCAGTTCCCGAGGACCTGGTGTGAAGGTTTGGGAAGTTGGGTATAGTCAGATTAAGGGCTACACAGAGGTTTCAAGGATGACGGAGCGGTGAGGGTGAGCTTAAGAAGTGTTGTTTACAGCAGAACAAGGTTGGGTGATGAGCAGCATTGCCTGGACAGTGCTAAGCTCCGGGGTCCCCTCTTTATTTCTACTGATGGACATTATCAGTGTGGTTCACTGGCGTACCCCGAAATTGACACAAGAAAAGCCATTCATTTTTATGGAATGAGCAAAAGATGTTTCTGGGATGAACACACTTTGGGGAGATTTCCCATTCATCTGGCCTCCTCTGACACCTCGCACTACCCTTCTGGAAGCCCACTTGATCTCTTGGTCAGAGTTCCTGTGAGGTGCACCAGACATCTAGGCATACCTCTGTCCTTGCTGTTGTTTTGTTTGTAAACAGCTGTATCTGTAGCTCCTTTCATCCAGAGAGCTGACAAAAGGTGTTATATAATGTTCCCAAAGCTGACTCTTATTTCCTGAGCAGATGCTAGGATGGCAGTGACAATCCACAACATTACAATCAAGAACATCAGCACTTGTTGAGCATTGTAATGTGATTACAGGACAGACCGTTCCTTTTTTCCTCTGGCTGAATATTCAAGACACCATCCAATGTGGTGCCCTCATGCTGCCATTACTTGTGGCTGCGCCTCCTGGTCTGCTTGGGGCTGTCTGCTCTTTGGCAGGAGGGTGCTGCACTACTATCTGGTGTGCTCACTGAAGACTTGTGTGCTAAAGTCTGCCACAAATGGTAGCAGAGGGACCACAGATCATGTAGAAAACCACCACAGGCATAGGCTGTTAAGCTCACATATTACTTTCCAAATCAGGACATTTAATGCAGAGTTCCAGATTAATTCTTTTTTGAAAATCAGAAAACCCAGCCACAGTGATTACGGCATCCTATTTGATTGATCATCATTGGCTGATGTTGTGTCTTGGCACTCCACACAGACAGAATCCTTGCTGTGATTCCCTGTAGATCCTGGGGGCATGCTCCTTGGGACCTGTTATGGTTTGGGGTTTATTTGCAAGGGGAAACAGTAACATAATACAGGACACATACTTTATATGATTATTTATAATAGTCACCAAAGAATGATATACAAAAGAGTGCAGGAAATCTGTCCACAGACTATAGATCAAGAATCCAGTTGAGGGCCCGGATACCACAGAAATGTCCTGCATGAGTCCAGCTGAAGACCTAGGGCCCATAACAATGCCTCCCACAAATCCAACTGGAGGCCCAGAGCCCATAACAATATCTCTTGCAGACCTGTTTCACCGATCTGCGCTGGAAAGGCCCAAAGGACAGTGGTGGAATCTAGGGAGTCTGTGCCACTGGGATGAAGGTCCTGTGCTAGCAGGCTGACGGATCTATGGTGGAGCCAGGAAGTGATGCTCAGAAGAACCAGAGCTTCCCTGAAAGGTACCATAGCCATCCTCAGCAACAGCGAGGTCCGGAGCTCCTCTGATGATCAAGATGGCTGAGTTCCCATCAAGGAAGCCAATGAAGCAAGCTTCTCTAGGAGACTGGCAGTGCACCATCTTCCCCTCCGGAGCCAGGAAGTGATGCTCAAAGTGAAGACCAGAGCTCCCCCAAAATGAACCAAGGCCATTCTCAGTGCCTTCGAGGTCCTGAGCTCCTCAGAGGATGAAAACAGCCAAGTTCATCTGGAGAGCCAGCATGACAAGCTCCTCCAAAACAACCAACAACTCTTTACAGCTTCCACCAGCTCCAACATCCTTTCTCTGCTCCCAACACCCTCTTTAGTTCCCAAAATCTTTATTTCTTCTTCTCCAGGTCTGCCTCCTCTGCTGGCAACAGTCCCCAGGTGGGCCTCCCACACCCGGCACCATGCTTACTCAGTTCAGCTGGGAGTTATAAATTGACCGCCAGTTGTCTATCTACCACAGGACCCAATCTTTTTCTTTCTGTTTTTATTTTTATTAATACATGTTTGCACTACACAATGGTCACTTCCCTCCCAGGGAGTCGTTAGGTGTATGCATGTGTCTTAATTCACTTTCCCCCTTCCCCTCCTCTTCCTGCACCCTCCCTCCTCCTCTTGGTCTCCCTCCCTCCTCCCCTCTTGGTCTCCCTCCCATCAGCAAAAGCTCTATCTCCATGCCATATATAAGCTTGTGTGTCTGATTTATTTCAACTTAACTCAATGGCCCCAAGGTTCATCTTTTTCTACAAATGACTCAAGTTTATTCTTTGGGGCAGAGTAGTACTCCATTGTGTATGAATACCATATTTTCTTTATCCATTGGTCTGCTGATGAAATATAGGCTGCTTCTAATATTTATCTTTTCATGAGTTGTGCTGCTACAAACATGGGTATGCATGGTTATATGAAATCTTTAACACTTTTGGGTTTATGTTATGAATCTGCTTCCCACGGGCCCCAAAATTTGTAACTTGAACCACGCAACTGAGATAAAAGAATATGGGAGAGAGCGTGTATAGTAATCTGTGAATAATTAATAACTACACAAATATGGATGTGCTGAACAGCATCCAAACTTTTTCTGGCTATTTGTGAGAGTAAACAAGTTACACAACCCCTTTGAAAAAGAAAAGGAAAAAAAAGATCTAAACAGATCTAACAAACTGATACATTCTGCTCTTCTTGGAAATTTAAACTGAAATCAGCAGCATGGGAAATTCTTGCTTAAATTCCTACCTTACTTTTGAGAACACCACAATTATCAAAGTAAAAATTGCCTGATTCTTCCCCAGGAGAGTAGAGAGTTTCACAGTTCCCTTTATTGTTTTGTGCTGTAGCAGCACCAATTATCACCTGCTGAAGCTCTTAATGGTGTGTGTGTGTGTGTGTGTGTGTGTGTGGTCACCCAAAGCTTTTGGTGGTGAAGTATTGCAGATTTTGTTTTTGTTTTGCCACCACAGTGTAAAATGCTTGACAGTCACATGTTGGAGTATATATTTTTCTCAAGACCAATTCAAGCTGTGACCTTGATCCAGTTGTTTAACCTCTCTGAGCCTCAGTGTTCACCTCTATAAATCTGACAGTCATGGTTTTATATCACAATGTTCTTGCAGGGATGGAATCAGAAACTCTCCGTGGAAGTGC